GTATAAGAGACAGAATTTAAATATTATTTAAATAATATAAATAAAAGTAGATACAAAAATTAAACGATTGCATACGTCAACATATTAGTGACATAAAATGTATTATAAATATATGGTAAAATTCATTGTTAATTAAAAAAAATGTACAGAGTAGAAAATAATATGAGACCTATGTTACTATAAACAAGTAAGCATCACAAACTGTCTATATCTACTCAAAGTAATTCAACAAAAGGACGCACATCTCCGCTCTCGAACATAGCTCGTGCGTACAGTCCTTTGATCTTTACTGTGGCATCGACAATCCGATACTAGTTGCGAGTACATAGTTTTTATTTTATTAATTTTGGGTACTTCGCAATGTCTGTTACATTTGATTTTTTTTTACCGCGAGCTTGTTAAATGCTTCTATAAATTGCAATTTGATTTGTGAAAATTGACCAAGAAAATGAAAAGTTATAGCAATTCAAAATTTACGAATTTTATAAAATTTATCTGTCATTTTGACAATGTTGGCATAAGGTGCCGAGGACGAACATTTGAGTATATACGGAACATTTATTAATTTTTTCTGCGAAATGAGTCTCATGAACGACAATTTACCACAATTTTGGTAAAATTGATGTTGAAATGAAGAATACATTTCAGTCTAATGTTAGTGCAAAATATCATTAGGCCTTTGTAATCACCGCACGACGCGCGACTAACATGGCAACTAACACGCGCGTGGGTAAATCGTCACGTACGCTGACGGTTTATGGTCTGGTTGCTATGGTTTTTGTGACGTTCAGCGTGTAGGGACGCACGTGCGCCTAGAATGTCGATGCCAGAGTTATAACCTTTGATGTCCCGAGATGTGCGTCCTTTTGTTGAATTACCTTGATCTACTAGGCTATCTTTATGTATAAAATATGATTTTATTCTGTCCGTAATACATTGTAATATGCAGTATTTAATTATAGGCCTACTGTCGTTGAATCGGAAGAACGCATAAGACAAAATCATAGATTTGAGATATTGAGCAAAACGCGTTTCTTGTTAGTTTTTTGCTATGGAAATGAATTCTATTGATTATTGTGAAAGACTTATTACACAATTGAAATATACTAATACCCAGTAAAAATGGACATAATGTGCTTTTCCACATTAAAACAAAAACCAACGAAGCATGAACAATCTGATGTTAGATCAGTTTAGCCAGTAAAATGCATGTACCCGATTTTAGGTCTAATGAAATAACAAATTAAAAGTAATTTTTCAAACAAAATTAATTATAATTTCAGTATATAGGCCATCCATTGTGGACTTTTAAGTTCGATTTTTTTTCTTCCTTGGGCTATCTATGTGTTTCGCTGCAACATTAAATCATAGTCCATAACTACGATGATTATTATTTATCAGCTTCAACGGATGTTCATAAATAATCAGCTCGAAATAATGTTCATTAAAAATCACTGTCAATCAAATGTTCATTAATAATAGCTTCTGCTCACAGATTTATTTACAAATTCAGCCTCTCCACTTGTTTGCTGATTCTTTCGGATTCCCAGTTGTTTCTCCTGGTTTTCCGACTGTGTCCCCAGACGGTGTGTTATGTGTCAAGGTGTTTGTTCTCATTTCTGGTCCTCTTGGAAGACCTTACAAATCTTCGTCCCCTCAGGTAGGTCTTTCTATTGTTAGTGACAACTTTCATAGGAACGAGCACTTAATCGTAGGTTAACTAGTAGGTTTCTTTAATAGTCCGTAGTTATTAGATAGTTCTAAGTCTTTACATTCAATGCTGAAGATGTCTGTGCCCACTTCTTTTCATGGCCTGTTTCCCATAACTGTTTGCAAATGTATGTGGCACATATATCACAACTTTTGGCAAACTTTCAATTTTCCACCCACATGCCGGGCCAAAACACTGGCTCTCTAGCTCGACGGAGATATGAGTTGATTCCTATGTTGACTGCATGTATTTTCCGTTTGATATGTAGCCTCATCTTGGCTGGGAGGATGACAAGTCATTCTCTTCTCAACATTAATCCATCTTGAACTATTAGCTCGTCGCGATAGCTTAAGTACGGTGTCAATGAATTGTCGATCATGTCTTTGTCTCTTGGCCATCCTTTCATGACAGTTGTACGTCATCTTGCTGTGTTGCTCCCTTAGTTCAATTCAAGAGCTCAGCATTGACTGGTAGTAGCTTGATATCACTTATTGTGTGTAGTTTGTTACAGTTTTTTTTTTTTTGGTCGTTTCTTGGTGCTTGAGAGAAGGTATCAGATAGAGTAGATTAGTTTGCTAGGCGGGTATGCAACATCAAAATTGCATTCTTGTGCACGAAGCACTAAGGATTGTAATCTTTGGTGCTTTTTCAATGGTTTTAGCACAATTGACACCAAAGGTTTGTATTCTGTGATCACATGTACCTGTCAACCGTAAGTGTAATGGTGAAACCTGTTAAGGTCATACGTTACTTCTAAGATTTCTTTCTCAATCTGCGCTTTCCTGCGCTAAGTAACTTTGACTGGTCACCCCTCCTGCAATAGTGCTGAACCTAAGACATACTGTACTCACTACTCCAGGCCCGTATCCAGGGGGTGGGGTTTATGGTTCGGGAGAAACCCCTTTTCTAGCAAACCCCCTATTTTCTGGCGAAACCCCCTCTTTAAATTTCCCAAATAGAGTAAGTCCTCCAACCCAACTAATGCACTTCAGACCCACCTAGACACAATTTTCAAACATATCTGCTTTTATAACTATTATTTAGACCCATAAAGCACAAAAATCTTCTTGCTTTGGGGGTTTCACCGACTCCACTGGGGCTTCGACTGTGGACCTCACGGCCCAGAAAACCCCCCTTGGAAGAACCTGGTTAAAGGGCTAGTACCAGGGTCCGGATTTATCAAACTAGAAATCAGCTTAAATTCGTCTTAAGTCCATTTTTTTGCTTAAGTCATATTTATCAATATTGCTTAATATTGAAAAGTCGATCGTACGCATGCGCCAGCAAAGACGATTTTTAAGTTTAGCTAAAATGGTTTAATAAATCAGCTTAGTATATTTGCATAGGGACATCTTAAATTTTTTGACTTAAGACATTTGCTAAGCTGAGATTGATAGATCCCGAGCCAGTTCTTTTTTAGGATCGTAGAAAATTAGCACTCGTAATCCCTTGACCAGAGTCTTAACTTGGTCAAAGGCTCTTTGATGACTATCAACCATGTCCACGTGATCTCTTTTTTTGTTAATGGCCCTGCCACACCTTGACGATTTACCCAGCGTATGCCGACGTATGAAAAAAATGGCGAATGCGCTGGCGTACGTCGAATAAGTTATTGGTAAGTTTCGTATAAGTTAAGAGCACGCTGAAGCAGGGACGTAGCCAGGATTTTGAAAGGGGGGGGGGGAGCCGTTATGCGAATTACGTATGACTCCGGCGGGGTCAAGGGGGCTAATCCCCATGTGAAGTAGCACACTCTGAACGTTCTTCGAACTGTTTGAGAGAATAAAATGAAAATTGCAATAGCGGCATTATAAATAAGCGCAAAAATAGTTATATAATAAAGATCAACAGTGGCAGATCCAGGAATTCGAAAGAGAGGTGAAGCAGGGAGGGACTTTCACAGACCGAAGAACCACCCACCTCAGCCCCACCATGGTTGGGGCTGAGGCTAGAAAATTTATGATTAGGGCAACTCTAGATGGCCGGAAATTACACTCTCGCACTTCAATTTGAATATACTCTCGCACTTCAATTTGAATATATTTTTCTTTTTTTTCCTTAAAAAAATGAAGGGGGGGGGGGCTTGAATCCACCTCTGCTCAAACATTCTTTATCCAGAATAGTCATAATCACGAAAAATGTACATGAGAAACCAGATAACATCCTAAAAACAAACAGCAGTCAAAGACATACATCAGGAGCCGACTCGATGGAGTTTAATGTCATACCCAGGGAAGGGCACAGATCTGTTTTGAAAGGTGGAGGGGGGAATTTTGTGAGTCGACACCCACCTCAACCCCACAATGGTTGGAGCTGAGGTGAGAAGATTTGAGGAAATAGTACCTCTAGATGGCCAGAAATGACACTTTTAGTAAAATTCATCATCATCACATCACCATTAGTCAAAAATGAAGCGCCAAAAAAATTTCTCATGATCTTTTATCAGCGATTTTTGACAACCATAGAGATCTTATTAATGTAT